TCTGAATATTGCCGCCCTCGTAGAAAAAGCTAAAGTTGTTATTGACTTGGAATCTGTCCTACAATGGCCTATGTGGATATAGTTGAGAAGAGTCTACTCCAACACGCAAAGCTTAGATCTGACCGTATTACGCCAATAGTCTCCTTTTTTCGCTTTTTTTCACTGGTTTCACTGGTTTTTTCCATGGTATGGTTCTCCGCATTAGTCTCCTTTTGATGTTTTCTGATGATCACTCGCATTAAGCGCTGTTAACCTTTTTTTACCTTTCATCATGTCGTTCGTTCATATAATGTTCTAGTTTCTTTGCTCAGTCCAAATCGGTAAGATATACACGATTAGTGATTTCAAGTCAGCTTGGAGGTTACTTATAAGACAAATTTTAAAATCTTCGAACTGCCAAGCTAATCCAGCTGTGTAGAATGTTAACGCAGCGAATGTCTGCAGAGTTTTTTTTTACGTTAAAGATTTGATTTATTAGGTGTGTCCTGAGTTCCCTGCACCGGTATCTTACTTTTTTTTACAGTGAAATGAAGGTTTGCTTAGGTAAGAACGTACTCTGTCCATATGCTTCTTCAATAAAGTGTAAATCTTTTCAAACGCTATCAACATGTAATCATTCCTTTACTTTTAGCAAACACTTTCAGGTATCCCAGACTATCGATCAGAGAAGATTGGGCTATATGAGCGCTCAAATCGCCGGCCTATAACCATCCAAGAGTTTCTGGCTACGGACTCTGCTAAGAAAAAGTAGAATCATTCATGTTTCAAACACATGCTTACTTGCCTATTATAGGGCCTAAAATTGGTTCAAATCACGTTGAATTGTTTCCGAGCCGAACATTTTACAGATATTGGTCTCGTAATTTTTTGGCTTGGCCTAATTTCTCTCGTGCTAAATGTAACGCCGCTCACCGAGCTGTAGCGTCCTGGGAGCGTTCGAGCAAGTTTGTGTGGTTAATCACACAGAATGTGGATAACCTACATACTCAGTAGGTTCCTGTTTGTTAGACTTAAGGAAATGAATCATTTGAAATGTGTTATAGTGGGTAAACCTAGGGGCAGCTTTCAACGAATCTGCTTTAGGTGTTTGTCAAGCATCTAGAGAAATTACGGAATCTTTTATGTCATTGCCTCAATGGTGGATTGTTAGCGTCAGAGCATTGATCAATTTTTTATAAGCTTTATTTTAAGTTAAATATATAAAGCTCATGTTGAACTATGTATTTCACTCCGAATGGTAATCTGTAGTTTATGCATTCTGTTTTCGGCAGGAAACGTTGCTGCGTACTCAGTTATTATTTGGGTTGTTGGAGTATGCATGAACGAAGCAATCTAAAACGTTATGAAGTTTTTCTTTGCCAAAAGCAGCTATTACTTCTCAACAGCTGTTTTTTTTTTCTCCACGCATCAACAATAGCCAATTAGGCAACAGCGCAACGGCTCATTTTTGATAAGGTAACTCTTTCAAGAAATAACTTCTGTCAGAGCGATTCCTACTTGTCATATGCGCTACTTCCAAAACAAAGTCCAAAGCTCATAATAAAAGCAGGTGTTGAAGGTAGATTCGAAAATCC